GTGAATTTTCAGCTTGGTGTGGTGTCAGCTGTGAATACTACTTAAAATTCTTTTAATTCGTTTAATCATTCTTAATTTAATTCCAAAGCTTTAAGTACTGTTCATATATCTCGTTGATCAATTCAATATTTTTTATTTATTTTGTTAGCTTCGAACACTTTTCAAAACATCTTATTGATTACTTTATTCAGTCTTCATTTATTCCTTTAATATACCTAAATTAGTATGACCAAATATAATGTATCAATTAGTCAGTTAATTCACTTCACTGATTAATGAATAATTATCACTATAAATCATATTGTTGTTAATACAGTTAAGGAGACAAATGAGATGATTAGTAAAAACAACAATAAATTTTATTGGATAGATGCTGTAACACAAGCTTGATAGCTTTAAATTCTCCCCAAAATGTGATGGAGTTTGAACACCAGTATGGAGTTTTACACCACTCTTGCACCAATCATCTTCAGCGACGACCCATCAGTTGTACCCAAGTACTTATCAGAACGCAAATGACTACCCAACTCTGTCAACTGTATCCAGATTCGGCCAAGAAATAGACACTACAGATGGCTATGATTTCCGATGCATCAACGGAAAGTGCAACAAAAGACTCACAACTCGATCCATCAGAATTGGATGATATATGGCGATAAATTGTTGATAAAAGTTGGATAAAGCCAGAAGTAAAATTTCCTTAACTGCAAAAACGTCTATGCAGGAGGTTGGCAGGAACAAAGACATTGTTAAAATGCCGAGTACATCAGCATCTCCAAACTTCGATAAGATTGATTGATTGTTGGTAACTTAACGTCCAGTGGCACATATTTCATGCATATTCCGGACGAGAACAAATTAACAATAAATACAATAGGTAGGTTCTGTAATAGAGGCGTCCGGGATTAAGGTCGAATAAATTTAGACTGCCACGGGAAATGAAGGTATATTAGATAAGAACAGAAATTTAGCCTTGCAACAGGTCACCTACGGAACCCTCAAGAGTTGTTGCAAGGGTTCTTAACGTGCAAAGAGCGTGGCACTCTCTTTACACGAGGAATCGGATTTAACATCCCCATTCTGACCGGACGTGGCTGCAAATTTGTACATCCCGCACAGCCAAACGGACGCTCCACTTTAGCAAAGGTTTTACTGCCGGTCGGTGGAAGACCAATGGTGAACATACTCCTATTTCCCAGTCACCCTTGGGGGAACTTCGATAAGATCGAAATTGACAAGCGCAGAGGACACTAAGAATGATACGCCGTTTTGCAGAACGAGGCAGTTACATTTAACAGGTATATTGCTGAACAGGTTCAAATTCAACTTAAACAGCTGTTACCACGTGCCATGACTAATACAAAGTTAAAACAAGACCCAATTCCTCCTTGTTCTAAATCAAAACCTCATTACAGTAAGTTTGTACATGATAAGATCTTCGTTTATATAGTCAGTCTTTCACAAACTTAATCAATATAGTAATAAAAAAATGTTGTATCATTGCAAATTGAAATTCTCCACCAGAAACCAAATGAAATAGAACTAAAGGTCACTTACAGACTTCAATAATGAGTAAAACCCATACCACATAGTAAGCTATAAAATACCATGAATTGACAAATGTAGAACCATTCAAACGACACAAAAAACGGCCTGACTTATGTGTTTTAACAATACACGAAAAACAAATTTGATAAACAGAAGTCAACAACCTCTTTTAGACACAAGTCAAGTTTTTGGTAGATGTCCGTTTACGTCAGACTTCTTCCGGTCTTCAATCCACACATGTTTTTGTAGCTCTCTGTCAGGATGAAGCTGCTGTTGACGGATGGTTTGCTCTTTATTACTCTAGAAAATTAGCATAGGAGCTTATGGATAGAGCCAGTTTTTTAATGTAACCATGAAATGTAGACCATTTTTGGGCAAAAGGTGCACTTAAAAAATAAACAAGACATTTACAGTGAAGTTTGAGATCGGTGCAGCTCAGACGTGGTTTCCTTTTTTTTCTTTCTTTCCAGTTGTTACACTCGTCATACTGCATGAATCTGGATATAATTAAATACATACAAGTTTTGTTTTATTCTCCATTGAATAAGTGAAAAAAAAATAACAATTTTAAATATTTCGATAGAATCATATGTGTCAATAAAATTTGACGAAGTTAAAATATCAACCCTTGACAGATGTCTGGCGGTAAATACCAATGCTCCTGACTTAGTACAGGTATTTTCACGTGAAAACCGGAAAGACAAGACACTGAAACCCTATTAAATTTTTCAAATGTGATAGGATATATCTAACATATAAACTGCACATTGAAAGTATTGTTTTTTTTTATTAAACTTTTAATATTATATATGCTTAGTACTGTCAAAAAAGTCCGAATATTTTTTTTGTGTGTCAGACCTGTTTCTTTACTGACAAAGTTGAACAAGAAGCAACTATGATTTGCCTTTAATTGTTGGAATTCATTCATGAATTACAAGTTATATATACTTAGTGCATTTTTTTTACACATACTTGTACCTTTGTGGTACTGGGGTAAGACTGGCCTCATGTTTGGAGCGTTCATTTATCTTTTCCATGGTTCTTATGTACCAAACCGCATTGAATAAAGATGACATATACTGGTATACTTTAACATTTGACATGGTACCGGGAAGCAGCTGGATGTCTTCAAATCGTCGACCAAGCTGTTGTACAATCTATCTTTTGCTGAAAATGTAAAATAAAATAAATCCACACATATATCACATTGTTACCCTGCTGTGTTTAGGTTGTATTCATGATACACATGCGTTCACCTAATGGGATTGAGTTGAAGTGCACCCATCTTCGTTTGCCTGTGGAGAGGAGGGGACTGGATCGTAACCCTTGTCTAGCGAAGATGAAGTGCATCCGGACAGACAGACAATAAATAAATAAATAAATAAATATTTATGGAAATCTAAATTTATTTCAGCAACAAATTGCTGTTGAAGGCATATTAAACAAACTTCCGAACTGTAGATGTTTTTTTTAAATTTTGTATCGAAGAAATATACACCAAAAGAAATAATGTGTTTCCGAAAGACAAGATATAAATATATACTGCTTCCTTCAGAATTTTTGGTTTTTTAATTAAACAGCTATCCTCCAATCTTTTTAATGACTACTCAAAATTGCGGTTTTGCAGTATCTTTAGGTATAGACTTTGTCATTTGTAGTGTGTAGAAAGAAGCCATATTTTATATAATATTGTTAGAACCTTAAACTACACATACTGAGCTATGATACTATGATAGGTGTAATTGTAAAATGTCATGTAATTGTCAATCTTCTTTCATACGTTATGGATCATTGATTATATTACCTGTTGACCCGGTTGATTACTAGCACGTGCCATTGGTATAAAACCAGAACATTAAAATTATGCCAAGGATTTATAGAGTAAGATGAATTGGAATTTCGTGGGTTATCGTTTTATCTTACTATACAAATCCTTGCACTAAAACTACTATGGTACTGAAAATAAATTCGAATATATTGTTTTAATGAAAAGCTTTATCCGATGGTATTTTATTCATAATTTTTAATACTGTTTCATCACGGGTATAGTGCAGTTTCAGAAGCTTAATGCACTTAGGCGGCCTTGGTGGCGTTTAGATGCACCACTGTGTCACTGTGAAGTAAATAATTGTTTAGAAATATATTGTACAATACAAGCTAAGAAAATAGAAACTTCAGTGGCGGATCCAGAAATTTTCATAACGTCCACTTCACTTGAAATATGGCGGATAGTTCTCTCATTGGCTATCATACATCTCCTTATATTTATATTGTTAAGTTTAAAATGTCCAGTTACATTTTAACAAAGACTAAAATCAATCACCATACACATTTTATTTGGGATAACGACTTCATTTTTTACCTGCCGGGTTAATAACAAATTTAGGGTTAAGTGTATAACATACATGTTTTGTAAGTAACGATTGCATAGAAAACCGATTTCTCCAATACATGCAATTTCCGATTATTGCAAATCTGTTATCATACGGTAATTTTTATAACCCTTAGCAAAATATACATGTATAAATTCTTTATCATGAAATACAGGTTTCAGCAAGTAATAGTAAACTTTAATTCGCCGATATACAATTAATAAATAAATAAACTAACATCAATAAGAAGAATAAAACCAGCAACATGTATAGACGAATAATTTATTAATTAATTCCTCAACAAAACAACAACAGAAATAAATCATCAACAGAGGATTTTCTTTCTTTAATCATTCGAAAGTTACGTTTATAAATTTGAAATATACTTTTTTGATTAAAAATGTATCATCAAGCAGAAGGGGCGTAACTCGTTGTATCATACTAGCATACTGAACAGATCTAAACACGGTCTGATAAATTTGATTGATTGATTGATTGATTGTTGGTTGCTTAACGTCCAGTGGCAAATATTTCATGCATGTTCAGGACGAGAACAAGTTAACCATAAATACAATAGTTTGGTCCTGTAATAGAGGCCGTCCGGGATCAAGGTCGGGGAAATTTGGACTACCACGGGAAAATGAGGGTATATTGGATAAGGACAGAAATTTAGCCTTGCAACAGGCCACCTACAGACCCCTGACGAATTTGAAAGTAAATTTTTAGGTTTGGTCTGATTTCGTCTGAATCTGTCTTAACAGTTCTTAGTCGCTCGCTAGAACACTCCGTCTTGTTTATTTTGACATGCTTTAACGGACTGAATTACCTAATTGGAGTATCGATCGGAACGGCGTCTGAAAGTCTGAAAAAGTCTTGACGTTTTTCTCTCGCGGTAAATTTAGTCGATTCAGACTTGATCAGACCAAAATGACCGTTTCAGACTGAAATCTGGCTACTAGTGATCTGATCAAGCTCCATCTCAAGTTCCTGAAGTTCTGGCTCCACAGGTTCTGGCTCCGGAATTGGCACTTGATAATCTGGATCTGGTTGTTTTTCTGTTGGCTGGGTTTTTTTTGGTCTTCTTCTTTTTCTGTAAGTAGGTAAACTTTTGCTGGCATCATTTCTTGTCTTTTACGAACTGTCAAATAAAAATATCTTTTTAATGCACTACACTTATGGACAGTATATTAAAATATTAGGTGAATTTAAATATAATTTGTTGCTATTGTGTCATACAATAAAAAAGGAAAAATAAAATAAATACTCTACTCCAAGGAAATTTACAAATGAAAAGTCCCTAATCAATGGCAAAATCAAAAGCTCAAACACATCTTACGAATACATAACAACTTGCATATTCCTAACTTGGTACAGACATTTTCTTGTGTACATTATGGTGGATTAAACCTGGTTTAATCGCTAGCTAGGAAAGTTGATTTTACAATACCCACCACCCATCACATATTTAACAGACATGCCTCCAAGACCCAAACACAATTAAGACAGCCCAAATAAAAGATGCATATTTATCAGAAATTAAAGAATGAAGATTCATTAACATTAGCGATAATTTAAACAATCTTTACAACATATTTAGTTTTGAGTCTTTGGGGTTAGCAACTTGTTTGCGAAGGCCAGTAACAAATATTTCATGCACATTCAGGATGAGACATGTAATGTTCATCCCAATTTTGGAGTTAAAATTATATAACATCATTAGTTCAAATCCTATCTACTGTACAACACCAGGTACGTGTACATTTAATTTTTCATCACTTACATTGTCATAAACCTCTCCTGGTTTTACTTCACCAACACAACATGCAAACCGTGCACCTTTCTGGAAAAAAAGAGAACATCCACTTATATTTATTATTATACAAAATTTATGCCGAAACCAGCAAATTATTCGATTATTGACAAAACAAGTAAAATACAATCATAAATTCACGTTTATAGTTGTGATAAAGATTTATAGGAGGTTGTTTATAAATATATTATTCCAGGATGAATCATTAGAAGCAAAGCTAAGTACATTTTTCCTATTGACTGTAAAATACTCCTTATTTGAGAAACAACCAAAACTATTAAATTCATCAAAAATACTTTCAGGTAAAGTTATTTATTGTATTGCTTCTACAATTCTTTTAGTTAAAATATTAACTTACCCCAACTTTCTCCCAACTTCTGTATTCAGACTTGTAGGGGAACACTGCAACGTCTGTGTTTCTTCTTTTGAGGGTCATTTGTTCAAGTACAAATTCATTCCTCTCAATATCAGTCATGCCTGAAAGAATTAAATGTGCAGATATTAAGTATTGTCAAGTTGACCAAATAATTAAATCAAAATCTTTGGTATATTTTTACAGCCGTGTATCAATTTTCAGTTCCAATAAAATCAGAAGTTTCTTTGCATTTGAACCTAGGACACTGTCAGTTAGAAAATGGAAACGAAAAATTCAGCAACCTTTCCATTTGTGAAGGTGCATAACTCTAGAATGGTAACAGTGATGCCACCAAAACTCAAACTAGATCTGTGTTTTGTGGTAATAAGCAATGTTTATTAGTTCCATAATATTTGGTTGAGGCAAACTAAAGTTAGAGAACGGAAACCAAGTTTGGGACATACAGATGGACAAGGGTAAAACTTAATGCCAGTTTCGCTACGGCGGGGCATAAAAAAAATAATTTTAAGAATTATTCCACGGACCTCGTCTCACCAATTATAATTTCCACAATATTTCCTCTAAGTATAAATGCTTTCATCCCATTCCAAAATGTTTTTTTTAAGTATGTATTGATCTTATTTGATCACTGATAGATAGTCGTCTCATTGACAATCATACCACATCTCTTTTCTTTCATACAAGTTGCCTACATCTATGTCAGTAGGACCTGTGTTGATGGTATCTCATTGGCAACCATACTACGTCTTCTCATTTAGACTTTAGTTCATACTAGTTCATCCATTAAATTTGAGAGATATTATCCATTGTGTATAATAAAAGTTTGTTTCTTTATTCACTTAAAATTTACCTTCAATACTGGCTGGGAAAGACACAACTTGCTTTACACACAGGGTATCCTTGATGCTCTAGGCATACTTCAAACCTGAAATAAACAAAACCTAAATGAATACATACCAGATTTCATTGCATTACCATTAGTGGCTCCACTTTATCAAACCTAATCACAAACTATAATATTTAAATTTGAAAAAAAATTCCAATGTCAATAGAGAATGACTGAAGTATAGAGGTTGAATATTCTTAATAGAAAAAATAATTGTATACTATCATTACAGGTTTCCCTTAAAAAAGAGGGACGAAATATACCAGAGGGACAGTCAAACTCATACCAGATTTCATTGCATTACCATTAGTGGCTCCACTTTATCAAACCTAATCACAAACTATAATATTTAAATTTTTCATCAGTTCGTACACAGATTGAAAGCAGTTATTTTAAATACAATATGTTTATGTTAATGCAACACTCATTTTTTAAAATGTTTTTCTAACCATTCCCTTTTGAAAACAAATTGTCAGAAAACACAAAAAAGTTCTACTATTCAGGTTTTTGCTATTTAAGCAAAACCGGGGATTTTATCAAAAATTGCCAAAATTAAAGGTTCCCATGGTAACCAGAAGATAAAACAATGTTATTTTCTTTTATTTGGACAAAGTGATTGCATTGTTTATGAAATGTTTGTTCATGCATGGCCATGTATTTTTGGTCCTGACAGAAAATTGGTGTAATATGTTTTGTTGAAACCCAAAAGTTTGTTCTCTAAATCACAAGTTCACGAAATCCGTCAACATTCAGTATACGCTTATTCGGTGCACTTGATTTACAGTTTATTGTATGCTTTGAGTGGATGCATGGTCTTAATAAGTTCTCCCATTTCTACAAATAAAATTGCTGGGGCTCGAACGATTTCGTTTCTGTTCTTATAATTGCCATGGGCGGAAAACCCAGGGTGTTTGCCTCTGTTTTCCATCACAGCCGCATTGAAGATGATCTCATATGAAGGATGTGCTATTCCGACCCGTGTTACTCTCTTCTTGTATGACGAATTGTACTGAAGAGGGGTCGAATTCATTCTATCTTCTTTAATTGCTTTTCGATACAAATTTACCCTGTTTATATACAACAGCTTTTAGCTTACCATCATCTTGAACAACAAAATATGTCTTTGGTGTTGAGTGCACACTTGTAATTAAACGTATTAGAACATATGGTTAAAACTTGATTGATTGATTTGTGTTTGCTTTACGCCGCATCTGCGCTAAAAGGCTATATCGCGGCTATAGCTAATTCTAATATTTTCACAATTTACAGTATATTTTTAATATCAGATTAAAGCAAATTGTTTATTTACAAATAAAATTCAACACTACGATAACGTGATAAAAGTTTAAAATCATTTAAATTTATACAACAATTTTATATTTTATAATATATTCTAACTTCTTTTAAGAATGAAACAATATTTGTAACTGGAACACTATTAAATAAATCATACATATTATTGACATTGAAATGCTTCCTACGAATATCAGCAAAGTCAATACAATTAAATTAATTAAAACATGTTTAATAGTATACTAGCAGTTACCAATCTCTGGATTTTCAATACAAATCTAACAATTCCATAAGTCTGTTGTAAATGTTACCCATTACCTATGCTGTCCACTTTCTCAACCTTTTTTTTTTTCCAATATGGTTCGGTAAATTTTTTACAAATTAAACCTTAAGCTCTCAATATAGCCAAAATGTTGTCAATCAACAGTGCACCATGAATACAATCTTGAATATAATTTAAAGTTAATGTTGATGTTTTTAAATAAGTTTTTAAATGTTTGTGTAAAATATATGTTCCAGCTGAATTATAAAATTAATAGTTAAATCGATTGACTCTCAATTTCATTATTGGTCTGCGGTTTTATATTCGGACTTCAAATATGTGTTGTAGCAAGTGATGGGTGTCCTGTGCCATCCTAAAAAAATAACTTTAAAACAAATGTTAATAAAAAGGATGTTGAAGAATTATCGAAATTGTAAAATGAATGTATTTTACAACCTTCTAGGATGGTCGCCTCCTGGTTCATACATATCACAAATTATGTCTGGATGGTATTAGCGGGATTCGATTCAAGTATGATTTGTCTTTACAATATTTAGGTTATGGAAAACACACTTGGTCTTTTGCTTGGATTTGGTTTTTCGAAAAGGTTTTGTGGAATCGGAATTTGAAAATTACTGTTGACAGCTTGAATGATTCTGGAACAGTTGGATGTTTTACAGTCGTTCACAAATTGAAGTAATAGTCAATTTTTCTGTTCTGGTATTTTAGACAAACATTGCAGGGACACGTTTAGACGCTTGTATTGTAGAAAGTGTTCATTATTGCCGGTTTCATACAAAGCTCTCTTCAAATCAATAAAATGCACTCTGGTGATATCATGTAGGTAAGACTGGGACGTTTAGTCTGATGCATAGTGAAAAAGAGAGTGCCATGTTCTTTACACGTTGAAAACCCTTGAACCAAATCTTCGAGGGGTACGCAGGTGTCCTGTGTCAAGGCTCAGTCCCTAGCCAATGTACGATCATTTTTTATTGGCAGTCAACTGTCCGCGTCTGTAGATATATGCATATGACATTACGGAACATTCGAATATAATATATCCAAATGTATACGTTTAAAACTAGTATCAATTCTTGACACATGCTAAAAGAAAACAATATAACGCATATTTATCTTATCAAATTTGTTTGTTCAAAAAGTCGAACACACCCAAAATCACCAATCAATAATTTACTTTAGATAGAAACCTTAATAACTTAAACAAAACTGCATGCGTTAAATAATTACACTTATATTGAGTAAACTTACGGGTCTTCCATCCATGCTTGTTGCAACTTTTACTTGCGAGATTGGTGGGGCAAAGTTTGTCTGAAAAAAAGAATAAGTTGTCAGCATTTTTGCTTATTTGCTTTTTTAAAACGTTTACAAATGAGCGTCTACTTTTCGTATTCCCCACTTTTATTGTTTTTATGGGGAAGGGGCAAAAGCAACTTGCATTCAATCATGAATAATTAGTTTAAGGATTAAAGAAAGTTTAACGCCTGTACGTTTTGCGTTGTTGTCATGCAATGTATAATTTCAAGGGTTTCCTAGGTTGTTTGCACCACCATAGTTTAGCTTCTCTTCAAACTTAAACCAGATCACGCTTACGTCCATGCACATACGTAGCTTTCAATAAGTTTAACCTTGTGCTTTTTTTTTAAATATTTATCATACTTCCTAAATTTAATCTTTTCATCATAACCTTTGATTCTAATTAAACGACTAAAGGAGGGACTTTTCATATTGAACCAAAGAGAAACAAACGCAGTATATGTCTTAATCTACGCGACCTCATTCTCAAAATGTTTCAAATATCTGTATTAAATGGGACAATTCGTTCAACAACTACCCCCTACTCCCTTTTCCCCGCTCAAAACCTTCATCATTAAGATATATATACTTTTTTTATATTTTAAATCATCTTTATCATATTAATTTGATTCGCGATATATCGTGTACATATGTTTAGAAAAATAACTATATAAATAGGCATTAAAGCAGTTTTCTCGAAAAGTTTTATTTAAATTTGTTAAAATTATAAGTTGTCGGGGAAAACTTCAGTTTAAATAGTACCACGCTTTTCGGAAAATATACTTTGATTTAAGAAGTATATAATTTTACTTGAAATATATCAGTATATCTTACTGAACAATTCGAGTTTAATAATTCAAATAGTCTAAAGCTTTATCTTTACATTAAAAATTACTAACCTTTTTGGCACTTGTCTTTTTGGGCTGCTGCTTCGAAATTGACATCCCGTCGATTGAACTTGAAATAATAATGCAGATATAGTTAATGTTTGATTCAAAAATCGTGGTAAAAAAATCGAGAATAGGGGAAAGAGAGAGAGACAAAATACGGAAGGATGATGGACATTTTTGGTCTCTTTAATTTTTTAATATTTGAAAAAAAAGTATTGTCTGCTAATTTATAAATTTAGTATTATTGATATCAGTTACCAATCCGACTTATCTAATGTAGATGATTCAGAGATAGAGGACGAAGACTCCTGTATAATTGTTTGTTTGTTTTTAAGTATTTCAGGACATCGTCCTCATTTTTTCACTCTCCTTGACCAGTTCTCTTGTCGATTTTCCCTTTCTAGTTTTCTTTGTCTTCTTTTTCTTATGCTTCTTTTGTGAGCACTCTTTGGCTACTTCCCTCGCACAGTGAGGCCAAACATCCTCTTCATTCTCGACATCAACTTTTGGTAGAAGGTCTTGGCTTTGGTGTTGACGTGCAAGGCCTCGCCATGGACAAGGCTGGATTAGGAAGATCATCACTAGAAGCATCATCCACTGATGATTGATTAAGTTGAACAAGTGCTGAACTTTTCTTCTGCAGCTTCATCTTAAGGGGTCAGATTGGTTGGAACAGCCAGTATAAGTTGATTGTACTGTACTGTTTTCCATGGAACATTAAACCTGAAGCTCCTCTCTGAAAACATAAATGTTTCGATAATTAGTAATGCTATATATTCACTGTTTATAAATATAAGATAATATTGTAAGTTGTGTTGCTTGCAATCTTAACTGTACTGCAATTTTTGTTACATACCTTCCAGTCGACGTCCACTTCTCAAGAACTCGTGTTCGTAACCACTGAACCAAACTTGAAGGGATACCTTCCTGGCAGTTGTTATCCATTCGTTTGATGTGTTTGAGCTTTTGATTTTGCCATTGGATTTTCTATATTGAATATTTATCGGAGTTCGGTATTTTTGTGACACTTCTAACTCTGGAATAGCATTGGTCACATCTATATCTCTGTACGGCTCTGATTGAAGTTGACAGTTCTTAAATTTTAAAATCAAGCCTCGTGTCTGTCTTACTGAACACGAAGTAATGGATTTCTTTAAAATCTTATTCTGCGAAATGCGTATTCTGAAGTCCCAAAGGATGGTGTTCTATGTAGGTCATTGGTTTTACTGAAGCTGTTGTAAGTCGGGACGTTTTACAGCTGCTTGTTGGCGGCAT